AGACAAAAGAATGACAAGAAGGAGCAGCTGCCTGTAAAAAGAAACCTGAGACAGGCACAAAGCTCAACTCCTTAATCCCAGGCCCGTGTGGAGCCAGGGTAGGGTCCCCCTAAGGTCAGGGATTCTGGGGGCAGGCAGAAGGGAGAGCTGGACCCCGTGCCTGGGTGAGCCCCACTCCGGTACGCACAAACAACTGGCGCCCTGTTCCTCCCACTGGGCCACGTCCCCTGCCTCTTCCTGGTCCCTTCTGCTTCTTTCCCTTTGGATTTTGGGGTTCCTTTTTAATTTCCTTTTTCCATGTTGTCTCTTCCAGTTTTCCCCAATGGTCCCCCACCGACAATTCCTGGTAGTAATTTTAGCAACTTTTCCTCTGGACTCCCTCTGGCATGTTCAAAGCAGATGGCCCCTGGTTGGGCCTGACACTTGATCAGGGTGGTGACAGAAGTCAGACAAAGCAGGCACAGTGCCGGGGGAGGGGAGGGCGGGAGCCGGATCACCTTCCTTCCACCCAGGCCTTATTTGGTCTACCCTGGTGAAACTGCCCGCCCTCCAACCCCTTTTTATTTATAGCATTTGCTGCTGTCCTTTGTCTTGTCTGCTATCACTCTGCAGTGCACTTTGCACAATTACCACCCACCCCATCCATGAGCCCCAGCACTCGCTCTCCCACCAGGAACACGTGTGTCCCTATAAGCTTGGGGTTGGATCCTACTCTACAAAGAGCCAACAGAGCTGCCCAGAACAGGAGTCCTTCTTTCAGCCTCTGATAGTCCCATTGATTAGTGCAATGCCAGGAAGAAAGTAGACAATAAATATTTGCTAAAAGAGAGGAGAGGCAAAACCATTCAGTCTTCAGACAGCAGCAAGCAGAATAAAGAACCACAGTGGAGTCAAGGGTAGGGGCTGGAGGGGTTGGGGACTGATGGAGATCTTCCCTCCACCCTCCCTTTTTCTTTTTTGACTTTGTTTTTTTTTTGTTTTTTTTTTTTTTTTTTTTGAGATAGGGTCTTACTATGCAGTTCAGACTGGCTTTGAACTCACTATGTAGCTCAGGCTAGCCTTAAACTCAAGGTGACCCTGCTGCTTCAGCCTCCCAAGGGCTGGGATTACAAGTGTGTGCCACCGCACTCAGCCCTGATGGGGATCTTTAAGGCCATCAGACCCCCCAGTCTGAGACATGAAGTAGAAAGTCTGGATTACAGAAATGAGTCCTATTCTACAGTAGGATGTGGAGAACAGTAACATGGAGCACCAATAGGCCAGAGCCCCCCAAACCTGAAGGGAGAGAGACCAAGTGTGACTGAGGCACCAACAGTAGAGAAGGCTTCCCAACTCCACACCAGGGAGACTGGCTGAGGGTGAAGACATTGCCAGAAATGGCTCACCTAAGTCCCGGTCACATTTTTTGCATCTCAGATTCCTGCATCTGTGCCTGTGTCTTTGAAAATCAGGGAGGGGTGGCTTTGTGCTTAGAAAGCTGGAAGAGGTGGATAAGTTTTTGCTCTTTATCACTATCCTTACTGGTGGGCCTGATTCCTCAGCACCGGGCAGGATGGCGGGCAGAATGGGTTCTTCTGGATAAGTCAGTGCAGGGCCAATTGAGGCCATCTCAGCAACTGTACACCTCTCTCAGACTACATCAGACTCAGCCCCTGCAGCCTGTGGTTCATCCCCAGCTGGCCTGTGACCACTCCCCAGCAACATCTGGGCAATGTGCCTTGGTTGCCAAGCAGCCCCTTTGGAGCTGGACTGCCATTCCTTGCTGTGCCCATCCCCCTTCTCAAAGGGGTGCTCTGCACCCCTTTCCCCAGCTACTTTTTTCCTCCAAGCTAATGGCTAATTGGCCAGAGGTATAACTGGAGTAATCCACACTCTCTGAGAGCTGTGCTAGGGAGGGAGGGGGGATTTCAAACCAAATCATGCAGTGGTTGCCTGGACACAGAGCAGTGAAGCCTGCAGAGACTGTGCAGGAAGAATAAGGCATTAACTGTATTCTGTGCCCAGAGCCCGAGCCCCAGCGTTCTTCCTTTCCTAAGGCCTGCAGGAAAGGGGGTCATTTTTCCTGCTCCATTCTACTCCCTACTTTCTACGATACTAATTGCATATAGGTCTAGAGAGAGGTCGCCCCAGCAGGTTGGGAGACAGATGTAAGCAGCAGCAATGTGGATCAAAGGTCTTCTTTTGGCTCAGAGCAGCTGTTCATCCACAGCCCTGGGAAGGGGGCTCTGAGCTAGGGTGTCAGGTACTGGCAGAGCAAAGCTAGGAAACCAAGTTAGGACCCTGAGGCCATGCCTCTACCCACAGTGGCTCCTCACCTCCTTGGGATCCCACCCTCCTTTTGAGGCCAGGCTCCACCCCTCATCTGCTCCTCTTCTCCAGCCTTAAATGTTGCTTCCCTGATGAGCTGATTAGTTGTGTGACCTTAGAAGGAAAGGCACTTCCCCTCTCCATAAAATGAAAAGCTTAGACAGATCACCAAAGACCTGTCTGGCTCTGAGGATCAGTGACTTCAACACACTGCCTGTTGGTCCAAGGAAATCAGTGCACAAGCCAGAGTCCCCATGTCTAATCTCTCTAGTCACTGTTCTTACCACTTAGCTAGGAAACTTCCTTCCAGCTGCGCTAGTCCAGCCTCTCCCAGGGAACATGCCCCCAACTCTGCCCCACCCCTCTCTGCTGCTGACACTCAGTCCCTTCCAGTCTCACAGTTGGATACCAATCCCAGGCCAGGGGAGCAGAGGGGACATTGTGAATATAGGGCCAGGCCAATGCAGATGGCAAAGAGTCCAAGGGGCAGCAGCAGCGGTGTCAGGGACCAGGAGTGCCCTGCAGGGCAGTCAGGGCCCTGCTTGCCTAAGGTCATAGTGGTCGAGGTCAGTTTGCTCTCCAGCCAGCTGTGGAATGCAAGGCCTAGCCTGGGAGATATTTTTGCACTTTGAGCCACCCCGCCCCCTGGAACTCAGACCCTGCACACTCCATGCCATAACAATGACGACCACTTCCAATTGTTTCCTAGCTGAAGGGGGAGGGGTAGCAGTGTTTGGAGGGGGAGATCTGGGGGAATGCTTTTAGTGACAACAGTCCTTTCTAAATCCGGCTAGGGACTGGGTGCAGGTGGGGGTGGGGGCACCCCGCTGCCCCATATATACAGCCCTTGAGGCCAAGTCTGGCTCTCAGCTCTCTCCTGTTCTTGTCTTTCTTTGCTGCTCTCAGGTAGGAATGGGAGCCAGAGGCTTTCCCTGGGCTAAGGGGACTCCAGGACTAGGAAGCAGTTCCTCTAGAACAATGAGCTTTTTGCAGAGTTTCATGAGAGTATCAGGTCTGGTCCCTGAACATTGCTGTATAGATCTAAACATGCATGTTTGTAACATGGAAGTGTGGGAGCTCATGTGTTCCTGGAAGAAGATATTTGTCTATTAGAGATGTGTGTGTGTATGTGCACGTGCTTACATGCATGTGTGCATGTGCGCATGTGTGTGTAAGCACACACAGTTTGAATGTAAGAGAGGGTATGTGTTTCACTACCTAAGATACAGATATGTGGGAGGGGCATGTTAATCATCAAGCTAAGGACAAGTGCATAGGCTTCCAAGCGGGTTCTGAGAGGTGGAATATAGAGCTGCCCACATCCACGCACGTGGAAGTGCTTGTCTGAGCACCCAGGGGTCGAGCTTGGTAAGGTGTTTGCATCCTCTGCAGGAGGAGCTCACAAGCAAGTGATTGTGGGTTTCCCAGATATCTGAACACTGGAGAATAATTGAGTCATGAGAGCCTACTTATGCCATGCAGATCTATTGTTGGGATGTATGTAGCGCACTGGGGGAAGCTTGTCTCTGGTTGAGATGTGTCTATGAGCAGCGGGTATGTGTATTCATCAGAGGGTGTATGCAAGCACGTAGATGTATGACAGGTATCTGTGCAGAGATTCTCATAGTGTCTCCCCTCTGACAGTGTCCAAACGTCTGACAAAATGGGGACAGGAAGGAAAAGGACTGGCAATGAACTCACAGAATTTAGGTTCCGTGAGTCTTGGCTGTACTACTTATTGGTTTATGCCCTTGGACAAGCAAGCCACTTAACCTTAATTCCCTCATCTGTCCAATGATGTGAGGATGGAGTAAGACAATGTGCCTGGAAGTGTGCATTTGACTGGAAAGCACCAAACAAGTGGACAATCAACTGTTGTTTTGTAGATGGCCCAAAGAAAGGCTCATCAAGTGGGCACAGACAAGAGAGACCCAGTCTCTCAAAAGTGGAGAGCATTAGAACTCAGAGTGCAGTTAATGCCAGGGAACTGTTAAACCAACCCTTGAGAGGAAAAGAATAGCATTCAGGAAGGAAGACGGAGGATGGGACCAAAGAAGCTGTCTGCTGCACTCCTCATGCTTTCCGATCTGGGGAAGGTGGGTGCTGAAGGACAGAGCCAGGGACAAGCAGGCAGGCTGCACTAGCAAGGCTGGGCCAGAGCCTGCACTGACCCAACCTCCTCCTTGTTTCTAGGTGCCCTTTCCTCATCTCTAGACACATTTGAGAAACCAAGGTAAGAAAAGGTGAAGACAGTGTGGCAGAATCTGGGAATATTAGGCACAAAGGCCCAAAACCAAGTTATGGATCTCTGATTTCTACCCTGCTGTGGGAATAATATCTTGGCTTTAGAGCATGTTACCTCTAACTATTGAGAGGGGGAAAGACAGGTGAGGGGCTCAGGTTTACACAGTCAGATTCTTCCTCCTGGGAGAAGTGTCAGATACTCTTCTGCCCCCTAAGAGTGTTCCAAGCCTAAGCAAAAGTTGGCACCTCTTATAGCCTGGTGGGTTTGCTAGGCTGCTCTCTGGTTAAGGGGTAAATGTTGAGAGAAATGGACTTGCTGGTGACTCCTTTGGAGCATGGTGCTAGGTATTGGGGGTCCCATCAAAGGGGAGAACCCAGAGAAACGAAGGGGACGTGAGTGATGGGTGGGCAATCAGCTTCTCTGGCTCACTCTAGGCCCAGCCATGGGGGATTCGGAGATGGCCGCCTTTGGGGCTGCTGCCCCCTACCTGCGCAAGTCAGAGAAAGAGCGGCTGGAAGCCCAAACCAGGCCTTTCGACCTCAAGAAGGATGTCTTCGTGCCTGATGACAAAGAGGAATTTGTCAAGGCTAAGATCGTGTCTCGAGAAGGTGGCAAAGTCACTGCCGAGACTGAGCATGGCAAGGTGGGTAGCAGGGCTGAGGTGAGGGCTTCCTGGGGTGGATAGAAAGGGTGCATGCAGGATCCCCCGAATGCACGCTGAGGACAGAGTGGGGCTCCTTTGGGGAGAAATCTAAACCTTCGCTCTGAGGAGCCTTTTTCAGTCCCGTATTAATCAGTGTTTCCTGTGGGAGCTTGGTTCCATCTTTGCCAAACGCCATTGTCCTGGTCCTTACTCTGCTCCTGACCCTGTGAGGGAGAAGGAAAAGCACAGGCTGACACAAGGACTGTGGGGCTGTTGCAGACTGTGACGGTGAGGGAGGACCAGATCATGCAGCAGAACCCACCCAAGTTCGACAAGATTGAGGACATGGCCATGCTGACCTTCCTGCACGAGCCCGCAGTGCTGTACAACCTCAAGGAGCGCTACGCATCCTGGATGATCTATGTGAGTGACGGCTGCATCCTGCTGCAAGCGGCCTGGCCCCGGGTTTTTATTCCTGGAGCCAAGACGGCTGCTCTTTGTATGCAGGGAGCATGCACTCTGTCCCTGTCCCTACACCCTTGGCTCATTTCTAAAACCCTGGCAACTGGCATGGCCCAGATCGACCACACGCACAGGTTTCCCTTTCCCTTTTCCTCCTGTGGCATTTTTCTGAGACCCTGAAAATTGCCACCCTTCCCCCTTCTTCAGCAGCAGCCCACTTCCCTTTTTCTATGCCCAGACCTACTCAGGCCTCTTCTGCGTCACTGTCAACCCCTACAAGTGGCTGCCAGTGTACAACGCTGAGGTGGTGGCCGCCTACCGGGGCAAGAAGAGGAGCGAGGCCCCACCCCACATCTTCTCCATCTCCGACAACGCCTATCAGTACATGCTGACGGGTGAGCCTGGCACCCAGCCTGTGCCCCCCAGCCCCACACAGGCCTGGGCCCTCAGCGCTGACCCCGTTGCCTCTCCTCTCTTCCAGATCGCGAGAACCAGTCCATCCTCATCACGTGAGTGTAGCGCCTGCCCCGTTCCTGTGAGAATCCCTGACCCCAGCCTTGGTATAGGCTACCATCTGTCCCTCCTCCTTCTCCTTTGAACTCTGCCCTGACTGTTCTTTGCTCTCCTCTCTTCCTCTCTGCTTCCTACCCCTGTGTTTCCTTTCCTCTCTCATCTTCTCCTCCCACTGTCCTTCAAATAATCACTTCCTCATCCATAAGCCTGTCACCACCATGTCCTTTTCATCTCTCCACGTTCTTTCACCCTTCCCTTTGGAACCTTTCTTATTCTTTCAGTCCCACCCATTCTTTTCCAAGATAGCCCAGACTGTTGTCCTCTGATTGACTGTCCTCAGTGAAGCACGGCTCAGCCTGTGCAAACCCAGCACCTTTTTGTAGTGTTCTTCCTAGTCACTGCCCCGACTCTACATGTGTCCAAAGACGGCTGTGTGCTTTCAGTGCACACTGTCTGGCAGCTTCCTGCTTAGGGGTCCTATCTGAGTGGAACAGGCATTCTTTCGCTGTCCTCAGTAGTGTTTCTCTACCTCATGAGACCCTGACTGTCCCAACAGCGGAGAATCTGGTGCTGGGAAGACAGTCAACACCAAGCGTGTCATCCAGTACTTTGCTGTTATTGCGGCCATTGGGGACCGTAGCAAGAAGGAGCAGACTCCAGGAAAGGTAGGCCTGTTGTCTTCCAAGGGCCTGCAGTGCAGAAAGGTAGGGAGAAGCCTTCTCACGCTGACTTTCCTCTTGACCTCTGCAGGGCACCCTGGAGGACCAGATTATCCAGGCCAACCCTGCTCTGGAGGCCTTCGGCAACGCCAAGACCGTCAGGAATGACAACTCCTCCCGCTTTGTGAGTAGTCCCTGAGCTTGGGTTTGGGATTTTGGCCTTTAATGTGAGCCTTTCCCCAATTCATCATCATCTTTTTCCATCTTTTCAGGGGAAATTTATTCGAATCCACTTCGGGGCTACTGGAAAGTTGGCATCTGCAGACATAGAGACTTGTGAGTGCCATGAATCTGCTAGGGCTCAGTCTGAGCTCACCCTTGTCTGGATGGTCTGGCTTCAACCTCTCTCACACACCCCCTCCCAGCCTCTGTTTTTCTTTTCTTCCTGTCTCAGTCTTTAGGTCTGTATATTTTTCTGTTTCTTGGGATTTTGTGTGTGTGTGTTTCTCTGGAATTTTTCTGAGATCATTTCTCTCCTTCCAGGTCTTTGTCGTTCTCTATGTATGAGCTCTATTTGTTTGTACCAGTTTCTCCTTCTGCTTTTTGCTTCTACGTTTATCATTAATTTTCCTGTAATTCCTTGAACGTAATCCTAACCGTTTTTTCTTTCTTCTTCTATCTGCCTGTTCACAGATCTTCTGGAAAAATCCAGAGTTATTTTCCAGCTGAAAGCAGAGAGAGATTATCACATTTTCTACCAAATCTTGTCTAACAAAAAGCCTGAGTTGCTGGGTGAGTCAGAGCCACCAACTGAGACTAGCTATCTCCATGGCAACCTGGTCCCCTCTGCTTGTAGCTGGATTCTGTTGGTATGTCCTGGGTTTTATGGCACTGCTGGATTCATTTCTGTGGAATGTGGAGCCGAGTCAAGCCCTGTCCTGTGCTTTTTCTCTGGGCCATGTGTTGTGGCCAGCAACTCCCATGAGAACTAGAGGCTTGTAACATATCTGAGCATATTTTCTCCCATTAGACATGCTGCTGATCACCAACAACCCCTATGACTATGCATTCATCTCCCAAGGAGAGACTACTGTGGCCTCAATTGATGACTCTGAAGAGCTCATGGCCACTGATGTAAGTGTGTGAGGATCCTGCCAGGGGGTGGAGGATAAGCAATGGTAGCACACAGGGCAGAACTAAGACGCTGGCTATTTCCTGTTCAAAGCAGCACAGCCCTCTTGGGAAGCCAGAACGTGCACTGTGACCAGGGTGTGCTAGGATACGGGTGAGATAAGACAAGACTGTCAAGTATTTGATATTCAGTCAAACCAGAGAGGGCAGAAAGCCGTGGGACAGACAGGCAAATGAGGCGAGAAATAAAGGATCACCTAAGGATAAGGGGGAGGGAAAGTCACTAGGGACAGGCTGTTGGGTAAAGGACAGACAAATATGGAAGTTCTGTACTTCCATACAAGTATGGAAGACCAAGCAGGGAAGCCAGTATAGAGACGGGGAACATAAGTGGGTAGCCCAGATTAGCCCCACAGGACACCTGTGACCAGTAGCAGGCACAGGCCTATGACAGCCATCTGCCCTTATATCTTCCATCTTTAACCTGGAGCTCCCCATTGCGTATGGTAGTCTCAAAACTGACAGCGACTAAGGAGACAAATTCTCTCTCCAACTTGGCTATGATAACTGATCGTACTTTTTTCTGGGCTTCTTGGAAATGGGGTGTGCCTACAGAATGCCTTTGATGTGCTGGGCTTCACTCCAGAGGAGAAAAATTCCATGTACAAGCTGACTGGCGCCATCATGCACTTTGGAAACATGAAGTTCAAACAGAAGCAGCGGGAGGAGCAGGCAGAGCCAGATGGCACTGAAGGTGGGAGGCAGAGGAGCTGGGGAACAGATGTTCAGTCCCTGAAGGCCACATCTGTACGTTCTTTCACCAACCTTGCTACCTGGTCTTTCCTTCCAGAGGCTGACAAATCAGCCTACCTCATGGGGCTGAACTCTGCTGACCTGCTCAAGGGGCTGTGCCACCCTCGGGTGAAGGTGGGCAACGAGTATGTCACCAAGGGGCAAAATGTCCAACAGGTGGGTCATCTTCAGAAGAAAAATGGATGAGTAGGGATTCTGGCATGGAGAGGTGGGAGGATTCAATTCTTTCCAATAATCCTGCTCAGTTGGGTCTCTTTCCCACCATGTAGGTGGCATATGCCACTGGAGCACTGGCCAAGGCAGTGTACGAGAAGATGTTCAACTGGATGGTGGGACGCATCAATGCCACCCTGGAGACCAAGCAGCCACGACAGTACTTCATAGGGGTCCTTGATATCGCTGGTTTCGAGATCTTCGATGTGAGTCCAGAGCCCTGGGAGTAGGGGTGATCACGCACTCACTCACACAATCGCAGTCACTGTGCAGGGCCAGCTGTGGGCCAGGCTGGGAAGCCAGTGAGAATCAGGCAGTGCCACACAGTCATCATCCCTGTCCTCAGGGGAACCCACCTGCCATCCCCACTTCCCTAACCACACCTGGAGGGGAAAGCCACCCCCTGCTGGGCTCAGGCAGGACACGTGCTGGGCTGACCCCAGAGGCCCCTCACACACACTCCCGCCTCACTGCTGCCACCCTCACCCCTCTGCAGTTCAACAGTTTTGAGCAGCTCTGCATCAACTTCACCAATGAGAAGCTGCAGCAGTTCTTCAACCACCACATGTTCGTGCTGGAGCAGGAGGAGTACAAGAAGGAGGGCATCGAGTGGGAGTTCATTGACTTTGGCATGGACCTGCAGGCCTGCATTGACCTCATTGAGAAGGTGCTGCCCACCACCCTTCCGTGTCTCCTCTGCACCCCAGACCGAGCAGCCTCATCCCGCTGGGGGTGTGGTCTGATGAATAGAAGCGAGGCTGTAGAATCCTAAGCTCCAGTTCCTAGAGCACTTTCTTGGTCTAGAACCCAGGCCCTTGAGAGCAGACATGTGGAGGGCAGGCACCTGCAGGATGGCCTCCCCCGCAGCAGGTTGCTGGCCCCAGTTTACACACCCAAAGACCAGCAAGTGTCAGGCACCTGGGTAACAGTGGTGAGTGAAGCACCAATAGCAGCCCCAGGCCTACACTTTCACAAAGGTCCCTCTGTCACGGCCCAGGTTTCCCACTTGGCAAAGCCTTGAACAGGTGCCAGTCAGTAGATGAGTGTCCTCCATGCTGAGCCGAGTACATTAACACCCCAAGAACATCCCCACAAGCTCACAGGGACTGAAGAGCAGACTCCACCTCCAACTGTGTGACACACACTTGGGTGACACTCTCTCCTTCCCCTCAGCCCATGGGCATCATGTCCATCCTGGAGGAGGAGTGCATGTTCCCCAAGGCCACCGACATGACCTTCAAGGCCAAGCTGTTTGACAACCACCTGGGCAAGTCCAGCAACTTCCAGAAGCCACGCAACATCAAGGGGAAGCCAGAAGCCCACTTCTCCCTGATCCACTATGCTGGCACTGTGGACTATAACATCATAGGCTGGCTACAGAAGAACAAGGACCCACTCAATGAGACTGTGGTGGCCCTGTACCAGAAGTCCTCCCTCAAGCTTCTCAGCAATCTCTTTGCCAACTATGCTGGGGCCGATGCACGTAAGTAAGGTCCAGAGCCCAGGGGAGCTGGTTTCTGCTATGCTTGTGAGGCAGGTCATTGCTGCACCGTACTCCTTCCTGTCAGGATGTGCCCTGAGGTTTACAGACTTAGTGGGGTGGGACGGCATAGACACGCAAGGGTAGCCACATTGAAGACTCATCCGTGAGATGTGAGGAGAGGCTGTGATTCTTTCCCTTGTGCCCTCGCCTCTCCACACACCCATTGATGCTCATTTTGATGATCCCTCCCACAGCTGTCGAGAAGGGCAAAGGCAAGGCCAAGAAAGGCTCATCCTTCCAGACTGTGTCAGCTTTGCACAGGGTGAGTCCATGGCTCTGGGCCAGCATGGCCCCCATCTGCTTGGGTCCCCCAGCCACTCCCTAGCTCCAGCACTTCCCTCCCTATTCATCCTCAACTCCTCCCCTCCCAGCCTCCTGTCTGCTCCCCACCCTTTCCACTCCCTGTGTTCTCTTCACATCACCTCCTGCCCACTGAACTCACTCGCTTCCCAGCTCACATCCCTTCTCATTTCTTGCCTGGCTTCCATTCTCTTTCCTCTGGCAAGCTTTCATTTCTTCAATCCTTCTATTCTCACCATCTCTCTTTCCCTTTGTTTCTCGTCTTTCTTTCTGTCTCCTCACATCCTTTACATTTTCCTCTTGCTTTTTCTGTCACAGGAAAATCTGAACAAGTTAATGACCAACTTACGCTCTACCCACCCCCACTTTGTGCGCTGCATTATCCCTAATGAGACCAAGTCCCCAGGTGAGCCCACAGACCCAGGCCAGCCCACCAATGGGCATGCACTGCCCAAGCGCCAAGGCATCCTAAGTCATCTCATCTACTACCACAGTGGTTTCCAAACCACATTCCCCAGACTTCCTAACCCAGAGCCACCTTACACTTGGATTGTACGATTCAGTGTTAATTGTAAAGCACTTTGGTGGGCATTGGCTCATCACTGACTTATAACCCCCACCATGAAAAACATAGGGTTATCTTTCCACTTTTACTCAATGAAGACACAGAAGCTCAGGGACCTCAAGGCCTGGCTTTGATCTTGATCAGTTCAGTGATCTTAGGCAAGTCAATCAACGCTTTTGGCCTTCTCTAGAAAATGGAATATATCTGTTCTGGCTACGATCTATGGTAAAAAGTGTAAGCCATGGAAAATAAGAAATGTTAACTGGGCATAATGGTGCATGTTTGTAATCCTAGCACAAGGAGGCTGAAGCAGAAGGATCTCTGACAGTTTGAGCCCAGCCTGGGCAACATAGTAAGTTCAAAGCCAGCCTGAGCCACATAGTGAGTTTCTGTCTCAAATGAAACAAAACAAAGTAAGACAAAAATAAGAAATGTTAATGTCCTTTGGTTGCACTTAAAAATGTAGATGTAGAATAACAAATAAAGAATTATTAAGTGATTTGCTAAAGTTATAGGCTGATAAGGCTCATAATTAGGATCAGAACCCAGGACTTTCGATTTAGTGCAAAACTCTCCTCACAAACCTCTCCCTTTCCCCTCTTGCCACAGGGGTGATAGACAATCCCTTGGTCATGCACCAGCTGCGCTGCAATGGTGTGCTGGAGGGCATCCGCATCTGCAGGAAGGGCTTCCCCAACCGCATCCTCTACGGGGACTTCCGGCAGAGGTGGGCACAGGGGGCTGCGGACCTCAGGGAGCACAGGGAGCTTGGGCTGCCATGTGGGAGTGGGAGTCTGCAGAGCAGATCCTGGCAGAACTGGGTTGACTCTGGGCACTTCCTCCCAGGTATCGTATCCTGAACCCGGCGGCCATTCCTGAGGGACAGTTCATTGACAGCAGGAAAGGGGCAGAGAAGCTGCTAGGCTCCCTGGACATTGACCACAACCAGTACAAGTTCGGCCACACCAAGGTGAGGAAATGCAGGAGACAAATTATGTCTTGTCCTTTGACTTCTTGCCTTTTGACTCCTTTCACCAGGCATCCCAGGGATATCCCTGAACCCTACACTATCCTTCGCTGTCCAGTAATAACACCCCATCTACACTCCAACTGCCATTGACCCCCTTCATGCCCTCAATTCTCCCCAAACCACTGCCTGTCCTAAGATAATCCTCATCACCTTCTTCCTCTCATTCCTCTTCCTGGTTGAGCTCAACATACACTTTCTCTGCAGGTGTTCTTTAAGGCCGGGCTGCTGGGGCTGTTGGAAGAGATGCGAGATGAGAGGCTGAGCCGCATCATCACACGCATCCAGGCGCAGTCGCGGGGTGTGCTTTCCAGAATGGAGTACAAGAAGCTACTGGAACGCAGGTGCGAGATCTCAAAAAAAGGTTTCCCGGCCTCTCTGAGATACAGGCAGATATAGGAAGAAAGACATTACTGAGTCTTGAAATAAACACACCTGGGAGAGGGGCTTGGGAGAACACAGTTTGGGCCTTGAGAGGGTGGAATGAGTAAAGAAAAGGGGGCATTACAGAGGAGCCAGGACCTCAACTGGGAAGGAGGCAGGAGGGCTCACTCACCACCCCTGCCGTGGGCCTGTGCAGAGATTCCCTGCTGATAATCCAGTGGAACATCCGGTCCTTCATGAGTGTCAAGAATTGGCCATGGATGAAGCTCTTTTTCAAGATCAAGCCGCTGCTGAAGAGCGCAGAGACGGAGAAGGAGATGGCCACCATGAAGGAGGAGTTTGCACGCATCAAAGAGGCACTGGAGAAGTCCGAGGCTCGCCGCAAGGAGCTGGAGGAGAAGATGGTGTCGCTGCTGCAGGAGAAGAATGACCTGCAGCTCCAAGTGCAGACGGTGAGGCTCCAGAGCCATTGTTGGCCCCTTTCGTCCACCCTGTTTTTCCTGCAACCTGTATCTCCCCACCCAAGAGCTCACCTGCTGGCCCTCTCAAAAGCAAAAGGGTCCTGGGATCACACTTCCAAAATGTTCCCTTAGGAGGAAGGAAAGTAAAAAGAGCTAACATTTAAATGTACAGGCTTTATACTTGCATTAAACCTGCTTAATAATCTTAAGATCTTGGGAAAATCACACATCATCTTTGAGTTTCAATTCTTCCATCTCTAGACAAGAATAAAATGGACCATCTTACTAGTTTGTAAATACATGAAGCATTTTGCATCAGCAAATACAATTTTCCCCTTTAGTGGTGTAAAGTAGAGAAAAGGAGCCCAATAAAGTCCTCCAGTCACTTTCTTCTCTGCTCCTCTCCTCAATACTCTCGTCATGCTGCCTAAAACTCTTCATTTCTCCGTCCTTCTGAGGTTCTTCTCAACTGAGAACCACAGAGCTCCCCTCCTGCTTGAGAGATGTCCCTCTTTCTTCCCCTGCCTGCAAGGACAGGGATCCTTCCCACTGGACAGCCTCTCCTTGCACTTTACCCTCAGGAACAAGACAACCTGGCGGATGCAGAGGAGCGCTGCGATCAGCTGATCAAGAACAAGATCCAGCTGGAGGCCAAGGTGAAGGAGATGAATGAGAGGCTGGAGGATGAGGAGGAGATGAATGCCGAGCTCACTGCCAAGAAGCGAAAGCTGGAAGATGAGTGCTCAGAGCTCAAAAGGGACATCGATGACCTGGAGCTGACACTGGCCAAGGTGGAGAAGGAGAAGCATGCAACAGAGAACAAGGTAAGGGCTGCTCCCTCTGGCTCCGGCCCAGATCTCCTCAGATTTCCAGTCCAGAGAGGATCTCGGTCCTTGGCATTGAGGTCCCCACACATGTCCCCAGCTATGGCCTAAGGGGACCTCCTTTCTTAAGGAGTGGGAACTTTGGTTGGCAGGTGAAGAACCTGACAGAGGAGATGGCTGGACTGGATGAGATCATTGTCAAGCTGACCAAGGAGAAGAAAGCTCTGCAAGAAGCCCACCAGCAGGCCCTGGATGACCTTCAGGCTGAGGAGGACAAGGTCAACACCCTGACCAAGGCTAAGGTCAAGCTGGAGCAGCAGGTGGATGATGTAAGTAGACTGAGCACTGACTTCTAGACATACCATGTCCCTCTGTGCTCTGAGGTGTGTGCCTCTCTCTCTCTGTCTCTGTCTCTCTGTATGATACGTGGGTGTGCACATGCACTTAAGGAGTGGGAAGTTGACAGTGTCCACTCAGATCTGTTTTTAAAAGAAAACTGGGGAATAGAAAAGGAAAGAATTTCAAATCTGAATTAGGTATCTGATTTCATTCGTAAGATCAACAATGAAGATGGAATTTCTTCTATAATTTCCATTTAATTTCAAATATCTCTGCCTTTGGCCACAAGCATTAGAAGATGTACTCAGAAGAACAAGATATTTTTCTCTGGGAGTTTTTCTAGGCTCCTCACAGAGGATCTTTGAATTTCTAATATTTTCAGCAGAATCTTGTCCTGAGTGTTCAAACGTTCCCTGAGAGGCACATGTCTCCACAGAACCACTTACCACTCAGTATCAGTGATTTAAGTAACTATTTCAGTCACAAGACTGGGATGGCCCTTTAGAAGAAAACTTGGATTGATTCAATTCAATTTTGCAGTGCCTAGCAGGTGCCGGTAGGTACTTACATAATGTTGAATTAAATGAACATATATTTGGGGTTTTATCTCACAATAATTCATTCACTCACAAAGTACTGTATTTATCCAGCAGCCCTATTTCCTTGGTACTCTCACAGTCCCCTGAAACATTTGGCCCATCTTGGGAAAGGTTCCCCAAGTGAATCGTACGATTCCCCAAGCACAGAGTAAACCACAGCATCACTACATCAGGATGCTTGACCTCATGGGCCCTGGCTGGGCCTTCTCTCCATCAGCTGGAGGGATCCCTGGAGCAGGAGAAGAAGGTGCGCATGGACCTGGAGCGGGCAAAGCGCAAGCTGGAGGGTGACCTGAAGCTGACCCAGGAGAGCATCATGGACCTGGAGAATGACAAGCAGCAGCTGGATGAACGACTAAAAAAGTACTGTGTTCCTGCCTCCTTTCCTCCTCCCCAGCCTGCAGCCAGTAGTCTGCTCAGCCCATAACAGTACAAGCTGACACTATCCTGAGAGGCAGTGACCTCATGCAATCTCTACAAGGTGGTGGTTAGCCAGTGGGCAAAGGCTCCAAGAACAGTTTTCCTCCCCAGAACAAACAGCAGGGCCTGACAACCCTTCCTGGCAAAAAATCCCTAATGTGGGTTCCTCAAGCTCCTTCTTCATTGTGGGTACTTGGGATGAAAATAACAGCTGGGTCCCTGTGACACAACTCTAAAGCCTCTCAGGAAAGTCCCTTTTGGTGTTTTGTGGAGAGTCTAGAGGACAGTGAAGAAACAGATCTGTCTACATGCTCAAGGTCAGAGAAATCAGATCATTTCTTTTTTTTTAGTAATCTGTGGTCCCAATTCTAACAGAAGTCCTTCCAACATATACAAATCCAGAAGAAGCAACATTTTTGATGGGTGCATGGTGCTGTGGATCAAACCCAGGGCTCCACACTTGCTAGACAAGTGCTCTACCCCTGAGCTACCCTCTAGCTCTGCAGAACATACCTTGATACCTGAGGACCAAATAGTGTTTCTGCTTAGGTTTGCATAGGGCTCTTCACTCTTCCCTAGGCACAGAGTTTTTGAATGAATGAATGAATGAATGAATGAGTGATCCCATTCCTGTTGGACTTCAGTCCTGCAACAGGTGTTACACCTTTTGCTGTCTTACATCACCCCTGGAAGCTTTTTCTAATTAAATCCTGCTCTTTACTTGTTTTATTACCATGTCCAACCGCTCATGGATGGACCAGGAGCCCTACCATGCTCCCCTACCTCACTTCCCCTTCTTCCTTACAGGAAGGACTTCGAGCTGAATGCGCTCAATGCCAGGATTGAGGATGAGCAGGCCCTGGGCAGCCAGCTGCAGAAGAAGCTCAAAGAGCTCCAGGTAAGGTCTGGGGAGACCAGGTTGGCTACTTCAGTCCTCTGGCTGGTTCTCAGCATCCCTGACCCCCCTCCAAGGTAGCCTATCGCCAGCATTATAGGAGTTCACTGTGACTGTTAAGGTAGACACAAAGCTGTCACAGTGTCCCCATGGGAGCACCCTAAGGGGTTATGCATGATTCAAAGAAAACATAAGAAGAAATCTTGAGAAGGATCTGGGGGACTGAAACTCTGGTTTCCTGTCTCAGCTCTGTTTTAGCTGAGTGACCACGGGGAAGCCACTCTAGATATCTGGATCTCCATGCCTTTCCTTATGACTTGGTAACTTTCAGTGTCCCTACAGTCACAGTGGTCAGTTTTTCCATTTTTGCTGCTAGAGCAGACATTGAAGCAGGTCTGTAGTTTTCAGAGAAGTACAACTTTCTCGCTCTGAACAATTACATTTTCACTATTAAACTGCTTAGAATATCTCTAAAAGACAAGTCTCTTTACCCTGTTTCAAGAGCACGCTTCCACTGCTTTCTTCTACTAAGGAGAAGATATAATGTTCTGGCCTAAAGGAAGGCTAAGGCAGCTGCTCTAAGCATCTTCCCCAAATCCTTTTAGGCCCATATCATCAAGTTTCACTAGCTGCTCCCCACAGGCCAGGAGTCCTTTAGATTCCTAAGAAAAAAGAGGGCTTCCATGGGGGGATCCAGCACGAGTCTGAGCCCCTGTGTCCCTGCCTAGGCCCGCATCGAGGAGCTGGAAGAGGAGCTGGAGGCTGAGCGCACTGCCCGCGCCAAGGTCGAGAAGCTGCGCTCAGACCTGTCCCGAGAGCTGGAGGAGATCAGCGAGAGGCTGGAGGAGGCCGGCGGGGCCACTTCCGTGCAGATCGAGATGAACAAGAAGCGCGAGGCCGAGTTCCAGAAGATGCGGCGCGACCTGGAGGAGGCCACGCTGCAGCACGAGGCCACGGCGGCGGCGCTGCGCAAGAAGCACGCGGACAGCGTGGCCGAGCTGAGCGAGCAGATCGACAACTTGCAGCGGGTCAAGCAGAAGCTGGAGAAGGAGAAGAGCGAGTTCAAGCTGGAGCTGGATGATGTCACCTCCAACATGGAGCAGATCATCAAGGCCAAGGTGGGCCCTCTCGGCCTCTCCTCCCCTCTTACCTCTGCTTCCTGTCTTTTCCTATTTCTTCCCTGATGGTTATTGTCCCACTTCCCTTTCTCTCTTCGCTTCCACACTTTCCCCTTAACTTTCTCCTTTAATTGCACCCTGACACAACTCTTGTATCCATTATATGGCTACTTCTTCTCCAGGCCAACCTGGAGAAGATGTGCAGGACCCTGGAAGACCAGATGAATGAGCACCGCAGCAAGGCTGAGGAGACCCAGCGTTCTGTCAATGACCTCACCAGCCAACGGGCCAAACTGCAAACGGAGAATGGTGAGCCTGAAGCTGGGCCCCATGGATCCCACCCCAGGCTCCCTGGCCTTCTGAGCAACCTCAGCCATTGGCACACATACCCCTCGCATTCACACACAGGGCCTGGGGCATAATGAGAGGCTGGGGGATCAAAAGAGGGGCTGACCTTCAAGAGTTGAGCCTCCTTTGGTGCCTCCCCAGGTGAGCTGTCTAGGCAGCTGGATGAGAAGGAAGCACTGATCTCACAGCTTACCCGAGGCAAGCTCACCTACACCCAGCAGCTGGAGGACCTTAAAAGGCAGCTGGAGGAGGAGGTTAAGGTGAGGCCTGAACTCAGGCCATGGGGCCCAAGCAAGGAACACATCAG